CAGTCTTTATCTTTTTTTATATAAATATATTTTTATTGATTTCAGAGAGAGGGAGAGGAAGAGAGAGAGGGAAACATCCATGATGAGAGAGTCATTGATCGGCTGCCTCCTGCACGCTCCTGGCTGGGGATCGAGCCCGCAGCCCTGCCTGTGCCCTGACCGGGAATCGAACCCTGATCGCCTGGATCCTAGGTCGATGCTCAACCGCTGAGCCCCACCTGGCCGGGCAGTCTTTTTTAATAATATGGCCAAAGCTATAGTTACCCCTAATAAATTTACATCCACAACCAAATTTTGCTCTTTTCATTGCCATTACATTTCTAAGTAGCTTATAATTTATGGGGTGGTGGGGTTGTGTGTTTTTTTTGACCCATGAGGTATTTAGAAGCAAGTCTCTTAACTTTTCAAGTATATGAAAGATTTTTTTTTCTTTGTTCACATATTTTTATGCTACAAGAAGAAATCCCTTTGTGTGTGTCTTTGGTGTTTTGTTTTGTTTTGCTTTTTTGTAGTCATGGCTGGTATAGCATACAGAGCACCCTTTGTTGGAGAAACCTCTTTAGTGCTACTTCAAATTCCCCACTTATAATTAATAATTGTTTATCATTATATTTAGTAATTATTACTTAACAATGATAATGACTTATTGTATATGTGTTGACTATGTGAATATGTTTACATTATGTACTATGCTAAGGATTTTATACATCCAAGCACACTTACTACTCTCAACAACCCTGTGATAGTTCTGTCCAACTTGGCTACAAATTCAGGGGTTCGCATGACCCTCCTCAGATTCAATAATTTACTAGAGCACCTTACAGAACTCAGAAATATTTTATTTACTAGGTCACCGGTTTATTATAATAAAGAATGTAACTCAGGAACAACCAGATGAAAGGGATTTGCAGGGCAAGGTGTGGGTAGGAGGTGAGGGACTCCCATGCTCTCCGAGCCACCACTCTCCCTGCATCTCATGTCCGCCAACAGGGAGGGTAGCGGGGAGGCAACCCTCTAATCGCATGGTTGCTTTTCCTGGCTTCCAAAATCACCCCATTCACACAAACTCGGGTGGCTGACAGGGGCTTGTTATGAATAGCAAGACACCTTGTTGCTCTCATCACAGAAAATGCGAAGAGTTTTAGGAGCTCTGTGCCAGGAAGGACAAAGAGCAAATGTATATTTCATTATAAATAAAAACATCACAGATAAAATGTCTTCTTTTGCCTCATTCTTTTTTTTTTTTTACAGTACTGTACGTATTTTTTTAAAGTTTCTTTTTTATTGATTTTTTTTAGATGTAGAGAGAGAAACATCAATTTGTTTTTCCACTTATGTACGCATTTACTGGTTGCCTCTTGTATGTGCTCCAACCAGAAATCAAACCCGCAACCTTCATCTATTGGGAAGACGCTCTAACCAACTGAGCTACTGTTAATTTTATTTTTCAATTACATTCACATTCAATATTATTTTGTATTGGTTTCAGGTGTACAGCATAGTGGTTAGACAATCCTATACTTTACAAAGTGACTCCCTCAAATACTTCCAGTGCCCACCTGGCAGCATACCTAGTTATTACAATATTACTGACCATATTCCCTAGGCTGTACTCTACATTCCTGTGACTATTTTCTAACTACCAATCCCTGTTGCTTAATCCCTTCACCTTTTTCACCCGGCCCCCAGTGCCCCAACCCACCAACCGTCAGGGTGTCCTCTGTATCTATGAGGCTGTTTTGTTTGCTTGTTTTCACATTCCACATGTGATACCCTATGGAATGTCTTTGTCTTATTTCACTGAGCATAATACCCTCTAGGTCCATCCATGTTGGCTCAAATGGTAAGATTTTATTCTTTTATGGCAGTTTTGCTGGCCTGATATTTTTCTCTCAGTACATGGAAGATATTCACTTTCCTTCTTCTGATAAACCAGTTTTGGGGTTTTTTAAAAGATTTTTCTTTCTACTTATCTTTAAGATTTTCACTGTTTTTGGAACTCCACACTTTTCACTAAGATGTGAGTAAGCAGAGCTTTTTATTTACAGTGGAACCTCAGTTCTCAAACTTAATTTGTTCTGGAAGGCTGTTTGAGAAGTGATTTGTGCAAAAACCGTAGCATTTTTCCCACTAGAAATAATGTAAATTGAATCAATCCATTCCAGACCCCCAAGTGATTCCCTGTTTTAACCTGTTTGTTTACATTTTAAATGGTGTTTCAGAGGTGTTTTAAAATTGTGCTAATCATTGATTTCACCATGCTATACTTGGTAGCCAGATCAGACACACAAACACCTCTATCATATTTTGCAATTATTTGCTTTTTAAGCTCTGTCACTGTCCTCACAACTTTTCTTTTCACTTTGCTGCTATCACTAACCTTCTTAGGACCCATGGTGACTCGCTGTAGGTATTTAATAAGCAGCAACAAATGCAAAAAACACACAAAAATATTCACAGCATAATTTCCTGAGATGTTAACTCAAGGTTTAGTGGTAAACTGACTCATACTCATGCATTCTCTCCTCTGTTGCCTGAGAGACACTTGACTCATCATACAAGTATCAGCATGAAGGGGTTGTGGGGTTGAGAACTGAAGTTTTGTTTAACAACCAAGACATTTTTTTGTGAACAACTTGGTTGAGAAATGAATTAAGATGGGAGATGTTCAAGAACCGAGGTTTGACTGTATACTGCTAGGGACCTACTAGGCTTCCTGAGTCTAAGAATGATTTCCATCACCCTGGCCAGTGGCTCAGTTGGTTGGAGCATTGTCCTGTGGACCAAAAGTTTTCAGGTTTGATTCCCAATCAGGGCACATACCTAGGTTGTGGGTTCAATCCCTGGTCAGGGTGCAAACAGGAGACAACTAATCGGTTTTTCTCTCACATTGCTGTCCCTCCCTCCCTCTAAACATATCCTCAGGTGAGGATTTTTAAAAAAAGAATGACTTCCATCAATTAAAGTTCTCAGCCACTAGTTCTGTGAACATCGTCCCTGTCCCATGTCCTTTCCTCTGTAACACCTGCCACCTTAGATCACTGTTATTGTCCACCTCTTCACCTCATCATTTCCACCTCTCTTTCTGTGCTCATTCTAGGACGATCTTTTCATTGTAGGGTCATTTTTCAGATTGAACAGTTTCCCAATTCTTCAAAAAATATACCCATGAATTTTTAAAAAATACTCTTTCTAGAAATTCTCTGATTCTTTTTCAGTCTCTTGCTTCTTACTACTATTAAATTCCTTATTTTATTTCTTTAAATATAGTAATATACATTCTTCATACTATGTGTCTGGTTACATTGATATCTGAAAGTTTGTGGGTTTATTTTTCTGCTGACCTTGTTTCTTTGGGGGTTGAGTGTTTCTGGGTTCTTTGGGTTTTTTAAAGCTATGAAGGTTTATTTATTCCTTAGAACCTTCTCTATGTAAGGCCTGAGTTGGACGAGGATTTCCACAGGAAGTTTTACACCTCAATTTCCAGGCTCCTAGAAACACTACCGTGTAGGGCTACTTTTTTTTTTTTTTACTATGACCACCTATTTTTTAGAACTTTACACTTTTAATTTATTTATTTATTTATTTCAGAGATAGGAAGGGAGATGGAGAGAGAGAGAGAGAGAGAGAGAGATGAGAGAAAAACATTGATCAGCTGCCTCCTGCACATCCCACACTGGGGATTGAGCCCACAAGCCGGGCATGTGCCCTGACTGGGAATCAAACCAGCGGCCTCCTGGTGCATGGGACAATGTTCAATGAACTGAGCCACACTGGCCAGGATAAGGCTACATGTTTTTTATAAAACAAACTAAAGCAGATGTGAAAACTAGCAAAGAGCCTTCTAGGCAACTGCACCAATTTTCATGGATCAGGGTTCATGAAGTTGGAGGCAGATGTGATGACTGGACCCAACTGGCACTGGGAGGCCACTCCAGAATCACTAGAGGCCAAGCCTTCTGCAAGTTTCTGTGAAAGCTGGTATGGTTTGTCCATTGTGGCAGTCACCTTCTAAAAGCACTAAGGTATAACGTAGAATTATTTTTGGATCTGAACCAAATATTTTAACATCCCTGTTACCTGGAGAACCCTGAAGACAGTTAAAGGAATTCCCTGTGCTGAGAAAAAACCATGCCCAGCCTTCTTTCCCAGGTTATGGCCAAGACTCCTGCCAATGGCTCTGATGTGTTACAAACACCACTGCCGAGTGAGAATCCTGGGTATCTTTAGCACACAGTGCAGATATCGGCTGTGAGAGCACGTCCACCCAAGAGGGACAGCCTGGCCTGCAAGGCTGGCATCCAGGCTCGGGTCACCCAGAATCAGAGGGAACTGGACTCCTGAGCCAAGGTCTCAGCATCAGTGTAAAGACCAACCAGGACGCTAAATTTTCAGTGAAAAAAAACATGCAAAGAGGGTGCCAGAGGCAGAGCTGTGAGAGGTGACTGCTGTGGCCATTAGCACAGGGGCTCCTGAGTGCTTTATTAGTTGTGAGGATCATGCCATTTCCTGTCCAGAAGCTGACACACCTTAATTTCCTGTGTGCCGGATAAGCCTTGCCCTGGGAGGCTGGCTGGGCCCTGCCCCATCTCCCTCACCCATCTGCCTCACCTTCAATGCCCCAGTCCCACTCTGGGCCCCCTTCCCTAAGGTGCCCCCATCTCCTCCTGGGGCAACTCCAAACCTACATTTGGCTGCGTTCTCAGCAGGATCCTGCCACGATGCCTGGCACCAAATTGCCTCCTTCCCCACTTGTCCCTTCTCCTGGGGTGAGCCTGGCTGTCTCCTTGCCCTGGGCCTCAAACCATAGCTGAGAGCCCCCAGAGCCCCGGCCTCTGAGGCCTCTGACCTTCTTATCAGCCCAGCCAACCCTAGAACTCTGCTAGAATATTTGTTCTGGTGTGCTTGGCTGTTCGAGGGAGACCTTCTCAACATATTTAGTCTGCCCAAAACTAAAACCCAGCACCTTCCACCAAAATGAAACCAGAATTCCACATGCGCCATTTGTGGGTGAAACTTTAATATTCACTCTGAGGCATCAGTGGGTCACCCATAATGACAATCACACTGCAGTGGGAGGATGGACATCAGTGGGTTAAAGGGGGAAACAAGTGGTCCTCCTACCATGAAGGCATGGCCACATCAGAAAATAGGGGTAGTAAACCAAGCAGAAGTTCCTCTCTGCACACAGGCTCTAGAAGGAGGAGGGGGCTGCCCAGGCCACCAAGGGACCAATGCTGTGGAGCTGCAGTACCCGCTGAGAAATGGTACCAGGGGTCCCATGGCCAGCGCTGAGCGCAGCGGTGCACTCAGAGAACCTTTTGTGGTGCCTGTGGGCAGTACATGCCTCCAAACGAGGACACAACCACCACACGCACCACAGGATTCCTGCCCTGAGACATGCCGAGAGCGACCTGCCCCTTGCCATCCACAGAGGCTGCACTGTCTCGGTGCCAGGCCTGGCCTGGAGCAGGCTGAGTGGTGTGGGCAGCAGGGGAAGGCCCACAAGCATAGCTTCTCGCTCCTATCCTTGGCTGATGGGCAAATGGCCTCCAGACCAACATGGTTTGGAACTTCGAATGAGGTGTGCTGAAAGATGGGGCTCAGCTCAGCAGAGGCAGGCACAGGGCTTGCTCCTGGTGCCGCCAGCACAGAGCCACAAGGAGAGGCCAGTGTCTATGTTGGAAGAATGGTGGCATAAGAAAGGCCTGGAACAGCAGCGTGTCTACCATACCTGCAGCCCCAGGAGCCCCATGTATACTCTGGGACCTTCCGAAGGTTGTATGCCTTTCACGGCGCCAGCCTGCAGGTGTGCAGAAGGACAAAGGCACTCTGTGGGAGCGCAGGGATGTCTGGGCTACTTGGTGGCTGTGGGCCACCAGTCTGGCACAGATGCAGTCAGGGCCACCCGGCCACTCCCTGTGGTGATGTGAAGAGGGCCTTTGATTTTCTCCGAGTGCAACAGGGCCAGCCCCACATCCCCCTGGCCTGCCCTGTACTTGCCGGCAGCCTGTCCAGACTCCGTGAGCACTGTGGTACCAGGGGTGATGCCACTTGCAGGGAGGGGGCCCAAGAGCTGCACTGGGAAGAGGCGCTTGCGGATGACACCCATGTGGTGGGTGCGCGCTGTCAGCTCCTGGCCAACATAGCAGCCTTTGGTGAAGCTGACACCGTTCATGAAGGCCAGGTTGGACTCCAGGGGTAGTGCAACTCCTGGGGGCAGGTCATGGACCCCCTCAGGAACACCTGTTGGGGTGGAAAGGGAGAAACAAGGTGAGGGCTGAGGTGTCCTCCAGCGCCAGGGCTCAGCAAAGGGAGACCAGGCATGGCCCCTCCCACCTCTGTAGTACCCCATCCTCTGTCTGCCACCCCCACTTCCCTGTCCCCTGGTGAGCGGGCTATCTGGCCCTCAATCCTACTTGCTGGAAAAAGAGGACCTCTTAGCCTGACCCCAGCTATGCTTGCTCCATTGGCTCCTCCCAGTGCCTCCCAGCTCCTGACTGGGCCATGGATTCTAGCCCCTCCCATTCCACCCATGTAGTCTCTGGCTGGTCCCCCCCAGGCGCCCTCACACCTTGCTGGTACCGGTGCCGGTGATAATCCCAGACGTCCCCGAGCCGGCCCCTGGGCACCAGGGCAGGGCTCTCGTCCTGGGTGAGGAGCCGCCAGCCCATGCGAGCAGTGCGGGGGTCACGGGTGAGGATGGTGGTGCCCTGGTGCTTGGGTAGCGGCGGGGCCCCACCCGTCTCCTCAGGAGTGCCCGGAAGAACAGCCCAAACACGCAACTCAGGGTGTGGCTCCACCGTGACCCTCCGCCGAATCTTGTGTAGCACCAGGTGCTTCTGCAGTGCACCCAGCGCCGAGCTGTCACACTCCAAGAGGAAGGTGGGAGCTTGGTCAGCCTGCTCTGGGAGCCTGCAGGGACGAACACTTGGTAGTGATATCCTTGTAATTAACTATGTCTGAATAACAGGAGAGGCGCAAAGGGGAGGCAACCAACTGATGTGTCTCTCTCACATCAATGTTTCTCTCTCTTTCTCCCTTTCTTCCTCTCTCCTTCCCTCCCTCCTTTCCACTCTCTCTAAAACATCAATGGATAAAATATCCTCAGGTGAGGATTAACAGCAAAACCATATTTAAAAAACAAAAAACTACAGCCTTCTCAGAGGAAATGAGACAGGCCACAGACTGAAAGATTTTAAAAGTCTCCTCTGACAAAGGACTGTCATCCAAAACCCACAAAAACTGTTAAAACCCAACAATAAGAAAACAACCTGATTAAAAAATGGGCCAAAGACCTTAACAGACAACTCACTAAAGATGATGTACACAGAAGGCAAATGAGCCATGAAAAGATGCTTCACATCATAGGCCCTCAGGGAAGTGCAAATTAAAATCATGAACCACCACTACATACCTACTAGAATGGCCAACATCCAGAACACTAACAACATCAAATATGGGTGAGGATGTGGGGCAACCGGAGGGAATGCGAAATGGTGCAGCCACTTTAGAAGATAGTTTGGCAGTTTCTTACAAAACTAAACATACTCTTACAACCAACTGTGCTCCTTGGCATTAAATCAAAGGAGTTGAAATTTTATATCCATACAAAAACCTGCACACAGATGTTTACAGCGGCTGTATTCATAATTGCCAAAACTTGGGAGCAACCAAGATGTCCTTCAGTAGGTGAATGAATAAATAAACTGTGCTACCACCATATGATGGAATATTATTCAGCACTAAAAAGAAATCAGCTATCAAGCCATGAAAAGACATGGAGGAAACTTAAGTGTGTATTACTAAGTGAAAGGAGCCAATCAGAGGAGGCCACATACTGTACAATCCAACTATCTGACATTCTGGAAAAGGCAAAAACTAGGAGGCAGTAAAAAGAGCAGTGGTTGCCAGGGGTTGAGGAGACAGGAACGATGAATTGGAGCAGACAATTTCAGGGCAGTGAAGCTACTCTGCATGATACTGCAATGGTGGATACATGTTACTCTCCATTGTCCAAACCCACAGAATGTACAAACACCAAAAGTGAACGTACTAATGTACACTATGGACGCTGGATGATGATGTGTCCATGAAGGTTCATCAGTTGTAACAAATGCACCA